GCTCTCGCCCGCCCGCCCGAGCGTGCGACCCGCCGGCCGTGCGTCCGTGCGGGCAGCGGCCGGGCCGGGGGCGGGGGCGGCGGGGGCCGGCACAGGAAGTCCCCCCGGCATCCGCATCCTGTCCCCCGCCCGCCGCCCGCGCGGCCCCGCGCCCCGGCCCCCGCTGCCGCCGCCGCCACCGCCGCCGCCGCCGCCGCTCTAGGCAGCCGCGAGCTCGGTGGGCTTAACCCTTCCCCGCCCGGCCACTCGCCCGGCCGCATCCCTGGGTGCGCGCGTCCGCGCCGGGGTTGGCGACTGTCGCCGCAGGAGTGTAGCGGGAGGCTCCCAGCTGGGGCCCTGCCGCCCCGTGAACGGCAGGCACGGCCTCAGGGCGCCCCTGGCCAGGGTACAAATTGGGCTTAATTAGCACTCAATTAGATGACACTCAGTTAGTGAAGCCCCACCCCGGGCCACCAGAAGAGGCCTCCCCCTCCTCCCCTTGGACCTCCGGTCCTGGACCCTGGAGTGGCGAGGACAGGCCTGAGGGGGTGGGGAGTGTTGCAGACAGGACGGTGGGCGTGGGTCCCAAAGGACCAGATGTTGTCGTAGGGGCCACCCTCGGGCCACCCTGGTCAGCTCGTCCCTCTCTGCGCCCCTTGCTCGCTTCCTTTGTGCACAAGGCCCCCTGCCCCACCCCCGCCCTCTGCCTTCCTCAGTCCCCACCCCAGCAGCACCTGGCAGCGGCCTCCCTGGACGTGCCTAGCCACTTCCCGGCTGGTCAGGGGTCCCTCCATCTCAACATCCCATCCCTTTACTGCACTGTCTCTCTGATCTGGAGATGAGTTCACTCTGAAATCGGGATACTCCAGTTCTCTGAAAACCCAAAGAGCTGGCCATAGGGAGCTGCTCCTGGGTGGACTATGGGAATGCCCCGCTGGAGGGGGACACGAGCCCTCATGTGGTCACAGCCCCCTCCCCTCCTTACTGTCTCCATGCTCACATAGCTGCCACACGTGTGGCCCCCTTGTTCCATTTCTGGATTCTTCCTGGCCCTTCAGGCAATGGCGTTTGGGACTTCCCCTATGGCCCTTGTCTGAACGGCCTGTACTCTGTCTGGCAGCTTCACCTCAGACTAGGAGCTCCAGAGGGCAGGGCCACATCTTCCGCCTCCGCAGAACAAGCGCAGTAAGAGCCTAGCTTTGGAGACAGAAAAATCCAGGTTCCCAGGGACTTCTTCCAGCCATAGAATGAGGCCAATTATTGCCTTCCATCTGTGGGGTGGGGACTGCACCCCACTAGCCGGGTGTCTGAGGATAAGTGAGCATCCCCCTCCTGCACAGGGCAGGTGTGCACCTTGCGCTCCCCTGGGAGGGCCCAGGGCACAGCTGTCTCTGCCTTCTCCTGCCTCTTGGGAGACCTCACACCCAGATGTTCCACACACCCCTTGAATCTTTAACCTCCCCCGCGGCTGGCTGCTTTCCAACAGCATTTACTCACTCTCATGGCTCTCTCGTCTTAAAAACATACAATCCCCTCTCTCTCCTGCCCTGGGTGCCCAAACTTCCCGGAAAGATGACCCATAATAGTTCCATCCACATCCCCATTAGCCTGTCCCTCCTTCCCTCTCTGCAGCCTCGCCTCTGCCCCATCACTCCACCCAGATAGCTCCCTCATGTCACCAGGGACCTCCATGTCACTGGATCTCTCATCTCATTCCACCTCTAGGCAGCTTTGGACATCTCTCTGGTGGCTGCTGGGAGAACACCCTTGGTTCCCCCTTCCTCCCGATCTGCTGCCTTTTCAGGCTCTGCTTCCTACCACATGCTCCTTGCTCACCTTTACATCCTGCAAACCTGCAGTAAGGTGTCTTCCCAGGTCAGCAGTTCTCTCCCTAAGAGCATCATTTCTCTGGTCCATACCTGAGCACTGGCTCAACCACAGCCACCCTTTCCCTTTCTTCCTCGTTTTCCCTTTAATTTTTTTTTTTTTTTTTTGGCCGCGCCTTAGGGCATGCAGGATCCCCAGTCAGGGATCGAACCTGTGCCCCCTGCAGTGGAAGCATGGAGTCCTAACCACTGGACTGCCAGGGAATTCCCTCCCTTTGATTTTTTTTTTTTATCAAGGTAACACACATACCGAGCTGTGTAAGTCAAATAGTTCTACAAAATCTGTAGCAACAAGGAAAGTATCTCCTCACTTCTGAGTCCACTCCCATTTCTTCTAATATCTCTTGCCATATTTCTAAATAACATGCTTCTAATGCTATTACTTGATTTTTCCAGTTTAGATGGTATCTATTGACATCCCACTTTGGAAGGTGCAGATTGAACTCTTTAAACCACACAGACACATGCATACTTTCCCTCTCATCCTCCTGTTGTCCAATCATTTGTCTGGTGTTTATTCCGTTTTCCGGGATAGAGCTTCAAACCCTAGGCATTTCCTCGGTGATAGGAATGCCTTTGTTATTCCTGCTGGACCCCTGGATAGCTTCAGGGTGGGTGCTAGTCATACCCCGAAGACCAATTATGTGATTCTGTAACTGGGGCTTTGAGCCAGTGATATCAACCCAACCTCTGGGGAGAAGGTGGGGAGCTGGAGATTGAAGTCAGTCTCGTGGCCAATGATTCAGTCAATCATGCCTAAGTAATGAAACACCCATAAAATCTCTGGACACCAAGCTCAGCTGAGCTTCCTGGTTGGTGATAATCAGAGGAGTGGGATGCATTCTGATTCCACAGAGAGAGGATACAGAGCGCTCCATATTCAAGACTCTCCCAGACCTTGGGTCCCTTCATGGCCCATGTCTGGTCCTGATTTGTATCCTTTATAATAAAGCTGTAATCAGAAGTATAGTGCTTTCCTGAATTCTGTGAGTTGACCTAGTGCATTATCGAACCCGAGTGGGTCATAGGAACCCCTGAATTTGCAGCCAGTTGGTCAGAAGTGTAGGTGGCCTGGGAAACTGCAAACTTCCAGTGGATATCTGAGGTCAGGGCAGTCTTGTTGGGGATCATGTCCCTAACTTGTGGAGTCTGTGCCAACTCTGGCGGTCAGTATCAGAATTGCAGTGCAGTACCACACCTCTCAACACCATTTTATCCGTTTTGGTAAATCCATGTTTACTGTTTCCATAATTATATCTATGCAAATGTTGTTCACTGCTCAGCCTAGTGAATTATTTTTCTTAGTTTCCTTCTTATACAACTCGTGGTTCTTCCTGGAATTAATCACTCCTTCTCTCTTTCTCTCTTAAATTTCTTTGATTCATTCTTAGAATCAACAGTTAGGTCTCCTCACATCTTCCTTCAGCTCTATATATGCCTCTCAACCCAACTTTCCACTTGGTGAAACTGGTCAGAAAATCTATTTGTTTCATTTTGTTTCCAGAGACATCCCTTCTGGAGCCTCCTTCCTTGGGATCCAAATTGGGCAGGTTGCCCTCAGGGCTGCTGCCATCAGCCTGGGACTCTCCACTGCCATCAATCTGGGACTTTCCTTTGTCTCTCTCTCTCTCTCTCTCTCTCTCTCTCTCTCATCATTCCGTTTCCTCATACCACGTCTTTCTCTTCCTCATTGTAGTAGAGACACTTTGTGCTCAACAAATATTCCAAGAGCTCCCCTATATTTCCAAGCCTTCCATGCAGTTAAATCGGGGTTAAATGAATAATTTGGCCAAGGGACTATGAAAGGAAGTGACATATGCTACTTCTAAGACAAAGCTCTTACGAGCTGGTGTGCTTCCTCCATCTCACTCCTCTGCTGCCGTGTGGCCTTGGCGGAGATGTGTTCCAGATGGTACAACTACAAGAGTGGAATCTCAGTCAGCCCAAGGCCTGGAAAATCCATTCAGGAAAACAACAGAATTCTCAAGTAATTAAACATAACATTTAACACAGGAAAATGGTATAAACATGTTAAAAGGGCTTCAGTATTACAAAGAGGGAAGATGAGACCACCCAGAAATTAGTGTCCTCGGGGCTGGAGGAGCAAAGGGGAAAAACAATATTTCAGGGAGCTGTGTCATCAAGCCTGTTGTACCCACTGTTGGAACTGTGAGTCCAAAGCAATTTCATGAGCCCAGACCCACCAGCCACTGGTGAAGGCACCACCAGAAACAGGAAATGTCTTCTCTTCCATCTCTCATTAGTGCATCTCACTAGTATAATAGAATCTAGCCTGAGGTCAAGACAAGGGAGTCTGGGAAATGTAGTTTGAAGTCTTGCAGCAGAAAAAGTATATGGCAAGTAAATTTTGGGGAACCCTCATGTGCAAAAACCTTCATTCTCATGTGACTGAGTATGGATTACAGATTGGCAATTGTTTCTCAAAATTTGAAAGACACTGCTTCATTGCCTTTTGGCTTCCAGTATTGCTACTGGGGATGTCCAGGGCCATTTTGATACCTGATCTTTTGCATGTGACTGGTATTTTCTCTTTGGAACCTTGTAAATGTTTTTTTTTTTTTTATCACCTGTATCCTGAAATTCCATAATGGACACTCAAGCAGCTATTTCAATCTGGAAACTCATGTTTTTCTGTTCTGAGAAATGAATTTGAGTTATTTATTTGATAATGTCCCCCTTCTGCTTTCTTTTCTCCTTTTCCAGAATTTTGATTATTCAGATATTGGACCTTCTGGACTTCCCTGGTGGCGCAGTGGTTAAGAATCCGCCTACCAATGCAGGGGACATAGGTTCAAGCCCTGGTCGGGGAAGATCCCACATGCCGCGGAGCAACTAAGCCCATGTGCCACAGCTACTGAGCCTGCGCTTTAGAGCCCACGAGCCACAACTACTGAGCCCATGTGCCACAACTACTGAAGCCCATGCGCCTAGAGCCCGTGCTCCACAACCAGAGAAGCCACTGCAATGAGAAGCCCATGCACCGTAATGAAGAGTAGCCCCCACTGGCCGCAACTAGAGAAAGCCTGTATGCAGCAACAAAGACCCAACACAGCCAAATAAATAAATAAAATAAATAAATTTATATATTAAAAAAGATATTGGACCTTCTGTTCTAATCCTCTCAAGTCATTTTAACTCCTCTTCCATTTTTCATCACTTAAACTCAGTGCACTTTCTAGAGCCCAGATCTAGAGGATGTTCTCTTCATTTTCTTCTAAGCTTTTTGTTGAATGTTTTTATTTCTGCTATCCTGTCTTCAATTTCCCAGCACTTTCTTATTCTCAAGATGTTGCTTTTCTCATACTTGCTGTTCTTGTTTCATGATTACAATACTTGCTCTCATCTCTCTGAGGACAGTTAACTTTGTTCCTGCTCCCTCTGTCATCTTTGTTTGCTGCAGTTCCTTTTGTTGTTTGTTTTTTAATGTGTTTGTTTTGTCTCTCCTGTTGGAGGGTTTCCTAGCATGCCAGGTGACCCTGGGTTGTTCAGTCATATGCGTGGAGTGAGTCACTCTGCATACAACAGAGGGAATTGAACAACGGGAGAACTTCACTGAGGGAGGGGTGTCCTCAAACACCTGTTAGTACTTTCTCTTAGGCCACTCAGTTTTTCTAGAAAGGACTCATTTAAGCTGTAGCCTGGAGAAGTAACTTGATCATGAGCATTCTAGGAGCCTAACAGGGAAAAGAGGGTTCTCATATTACAGAAAACAGATTTCATCAAATCCCCCTGCTTTCAAGATGAACTCTCCCTGCTTTGGCTCTGCCCGGTGTTCCCCAAATCAGAGCCTGTTTGGTCTCAGGCTTCTGCCAGGGTGGAGGAGGAGGGGTCTCTTAGCTGGATACAAAGTGGGAGGTGAGGTCTGGGGGCCCACTGGCTCCTTTTAATACCTTGTACCAATCTTCCTGTTTTTAGGAAGCCTTGGATTCTGCAGGCTTTCTGGGGGTCTGCGGAGCTCAGGTGGCTGCTTCTTGGCTTCTGCCTCTGACAGCTTAGCTTTCAGCTTTCTCTACTCTGCTAAGTCAGGTCCACTAGGTCATCTGTGTTCCAGGTTCTAAAATCTGGTGGATGGGTGCTTTTGGTTTTCTCTTTCCTGAGAGAGGCAGAGACTGTGTGCAAAAGAATC